AAAACCAGGTTTGTAGGGAGAGGTCATACTTTTTTATGAGAGCAACTTCTATAGTTGGAAAAAACAGGCAAGCTTTTAGACAGACAAGACCACTTCTGGTCTGGAACAGAAACAGGAGTGTTCAAAGCTAGCTACAAGCTGAGAACAATTGCTTTGCTTTTACTTCATCATGTTAAACAAAGCACTGTTAGGACTGATTGGCCACCTCCTAGAGCCTGGAGAGTCATCAAGCTCTGAGTTAAGAAGAAACGGTATTTGGTACAGCTATGTCAGTCTATATTAATCCCACGTAAGGCTCCTCCAGCTTCACCAGACAAACATCTTTCTTTTATCTAAACATTTAATGATCATTTCCATTGAGGAACTGTTTATTTACACTAAAAGGCAGGATGGCCTTAAGTGGGCTGGACTCTAGGCTGAAACTCTGAAGTCAACCCTCTATTCTGCACTCGGCTGCTGGTCTACTGAGTGATCTACAGTGAGTGGGTCTATCTCTCAGCTTCTGCGTGGTAATGGGCATAATAAAACTGGCCTCCTCACAAAGTCCTTTGAGATCTACAAAGGAGAAGTGTTACACAGCAGCTGTACGCTTCATTAGTAGCCTTTTTTTCATGTGGTTCCTTTAATAGACATTCGGGTTCTGATTTAGATCTTCTGAACAGGGTGTGACACTACTGGTGCTGGTAGCAGCTCTGTGTTTGCCAAATGTGACGATAAGGCTCCTGCTACTGCTATGTAAGCAGTTAAAAAGTTTTATCTCTAAACCTCCCAATGTCAGATAAGCTTTTAAATAGGGAAAGGCTATTTGTGTTCAGGAACTACAGAACTAACTCCATCTCCCTGGACAATTACTGCAATGGGACATTTAATCTGAGTAGGCACGTGTGGAAACAACCAAGTAGACACTCCCAGATTCGCCAATAGATGTATAATAAATGTTGTCTTTTTCACACTTAAGTAAAACACAGGAAAATGAATGCCAACACATTTCACATTATTCTGTAATGCGTGTGTATGTGCACAGTGAAATGTACAAATGCATAGCCGTAATTAGGCACAATGGCAAATGAATGTACTAGGAACATATGTGAGTATGCATACATTGGCATTAAATAGTGCATAATATCCAAAAAAACTATGGCAAATTCAGGTTGCAAAGCCGAGCAACATTGGATATTCCAGAATGCAGGTTTCCTGGGCATCCTTAATTAGCCCTTTTGAATATTTATGATGATACAGTTTTAATTACATGATAATGTGTATGGTGTTTTTTTTCCCTTAACAGATCCTTGTTTTAACCAGTCAATGAGGAGGCAGTTTTTTAACCCTTCTGTTTTTTATCTTTCTCCATTTGGTGCTCTGGCCTCAGATCTCACGTCTCACATGGTCCAAGTGTTACACTGAACACAGAAAATATTAATCCCCTTCCAAGCTTTTGTTTCTCTGGTGCTCCCATGACAGCATCTTAATACGCCTCAAATCCCTATGAATGTATCTCTGCAACACATCTGTGCAGGGTCAGAATACTGTTATCTTCACAATATTCTTGCTGTCATGAAAAAGCACTGAAGCACAGGGTGAGAAAGGTCGGAATGACAACTTTCAGCGAAAGCTGAGTGAGAGATGTGGGAGCTTTCGCAGGCGTAGCATTTCCCTAGCACTTTCTCCACTCAAAGCACGGGCCCAGTTGACTTCAGCTCTCAGCACTTCTGCATTTCAGGCCCCAGGTGTCTCTTGTTGAGCACCCAGAAAATGAGGCCAAGCACTCAAGAGGGAGGAAATTCCAGAATGATGTCATCATGCCTACACGTGGGGAGGGGGAAGGAGCTAATCGTGCCCAGGCAATCCAAATTCTGGCATTTGCTAACATTTTAGCATTTGGCTCACAACCATATCGTTCTTTTAGCTGAGTTTCTCTGTGTATGTGTATACATTTCTCTGTAAATAAATAAGGACATCTGAACTGTGTCTAACCTGCTAAAAACTCTTACACTGCCTTCCCAGTAAAACTAATTTGTTGATACGTGTCCCCTTGGAAAAAGGCATGGCACGTGTTGTAATAAACTTAACTTATTTTTTCTGCTGCCATTAAAGCTAGGGAAAGCTAAGGAAGCTTGGTTTTGATTGTTCCCAGAAGAGGAAGGAAGGGAAGTAAAGAAGATTTACCTTCAAAGGTGCTGAAGTATCAATGCACCCCCTTGCTCCAGCTGTGCCTTGGCCATTCATTCCTTCACTGCTTTAGAAGCAGGAACAGGCTATAAGCAAGCAAAGAATTTGATGCCCAGAATCATGGAGATACAGGACATCTAGGGGACAGGGATAAATTTGTGTCACTTCAGTCTGAAAACCCACTACTAAATCTGAAGTTCTACATTTGGTACATCATCCCATCCCTATCCATTAGCAAATTACAAGTGAAGCATTAAAAACCATAGCATGCTGCCTTAAAAATCCCAAGATTTTAATTAAATATTGGTTTATTTTTGGTTTGCTTCCTGCCAGTTTTCTCCAACCCTTCCCCTTCTGAAACTTCCCTGCACAAGCAGACAGGTTGGAAACAGGTTAAAAATGGAAGCTGAAATCCATATGTAAACAGCTGGCTCCAAGAGCTGCTGCTCTAGGGAATGAAAACTTGTAATGCGAGAATCACAAAACTCTTGTGGGAGTTGGCTTCATTAGGTATCCACCGTAAGTGTGTCTGCGTGCATATATCTGTACACGGTTGCGATCCTATCTGTGTGTGCATATGTACCTGAGGTTAGCAGATTCTTCACTCCCTGCTGCGCCGGTCACTCCTCTCTTCTCACACTTCTCATCTGTTCTTTGAAACTGGGAGTGCCGCTCTTTCATACATCCCCATCCCCGCTAGCGCCACAGACTGATGGCAGAAGGATCTTTTTTTTACCCCTCCTATGTGTGTACAGCGGGTGAGCTTTTCTCACTGACTGTCTGCTGACTGCGTCGGATGTTATCTAACTTTCAGCCAGTGGACAGAACAATGTGTTTACCCTGCTGAACTGAAACGCCCTGGCTGGCTCTCCAAAAGCTCTTCTCTACAGCCTTTCTACATAGGGTACCGAGGGAAAGGTAATTGCCAAGTGCAGCATCAAAAGGAAGCATCAAGAGCACCCTACCTTTACTCCACTCAAGTGGCTGTTTCCTCTCAGGGTCTGAAAAATCCCTCATAAAGGAGGGGCATTCATTAGTTGTGCTTTTAGTTCTGGAAATGCCTCCCCATCTATGCTGGATTCCTCCCTTCCCAGCCAGGGGAGCACGTGGTTATCCCTCCTCCCTGCCGGCTGGGGAGATGAGCTTTCCCTCTGCTCCTTGCTGCCGTCACTAGCGGTGAGGGGAGCAATGGCAGATCTTATGCCAAGATTTCCTCTTTTTCCCAAGAGGGAAAAGTGTATCTGTCCATGATGAGACATTTCCTTACAGCATGTGGGTAAGCCATGCTCTCCAGCCAAGATGTCAGCTAGCAACATGCTCTCTGTGGGCTTCTGGAGGGAGAAGTCCTAGAGCAGGCAACATGGTGGGAATGGTATGGTGTCTATTATGTTATTGAAAACAAAATACAGCTGCACGTTACTGTTGGCTAAATGCAACCTGTCAGCACCAACATCTCCCCAAGAAGCCAGGACTGATTGCAGCCAGCCGTCGCAGGAGAAGGTGCCAGTAGCCGAGCAGTTGGAGAAGTGTGACATGTTGCCCCCTGCCCCAGGCCGCGTTAACGTGGCTGTGTTAGAGCCGGGAGCGTGCCTGGAGAAGCGCCATGTTGTGAGGAGCCGTGGTGACAGGCAGATTGCTCAGAAAGCCCCAAAGGAACTGCAGCGGTTTTCCTGATGGCTGAATGCCCCGGGGCCGGGACAACATGGGTTCTCTCGTGCAATGGACCAACCCAGGGCACCAGTGGTGCTTGCTATGCTTTGACGGTACATCAAGCTCCAGAATCACTCCAGAATAATTCCTCCGTAGCCCACAGATTTGCTCATCCTAATTGTTAATTACTGTAACTCACTCTTTTAGGACCAGCTCTGTTTTCAGTCTTCATAGTTCACTGACTCTAGAAGGCTGTGCATCCCTACCCCCTCATGAGTGCGAGTGGGTTGGGTGCCAGCCCTGGGCACTGGAGAATGAATCACATTGCTGCAGCTGGGAAAAAGTAATGAGGGTTAGGTAGGATTTGAGCCATTTTGGTGCATCACTGTCTTTCCATTTCTGCTGTATTATGTTTTGGTCTGGACAATCAGAACTCTTGTAACTTCAAACAGAGATCAAGGAAAGAAAGGAATGGTTTGCCCTCCTGAATAAAATGAGAACATGTGAGTGTGGGGAGAGAGGGGAAGGAAGAGAGGCATTTGCATAGGTCAGGAAAGGTCATTAAAACATCTGGCAGTAGTAACTGACATGTGTCAAATTTTAGTGTTCATTAAATTCGTATTAATGCAAGAATGGTTCTTAAGCAACAAATGCCACTTTTGGTTGCTGTGTTCCCCCAGCTGATGGCGATGACTTTTCAGAACTGCACCATGCTTGTTTGCTTGCTAGTGGCATCTGACCTGGGGTCAGATTTCTATTTAACCCCTTCCTGTAGGTCAAAAGACAAATTAATCTGGTGAGAATTGAATTGGAAATGAGGTGTCTGGATAGCAGGTGTCCCAACCATGGAATAGCTGCCAGGCTGAAATATGTTTGCATCTGTTCTTATGCCATCCAAGAAGTCATCTCCAAGGTCAGGGAGATATTCAGCTGATATCTGAGATGGGAAGTTGCCACAGGGATCACAAGGGGCAGGTGTCCTATGTTAGCATATTATCTTGCAGTCTTCGGGGGAAATGTCTGAGAGTGTCACTCTGACTATAAATGTAGATGTTTCCATTTATTGTGTACTTTGCTTTACCTTTGTTTACTACCAGTTTATAATCGTAAAGAAGATACACAATTTACATCCCACTTAAAGACAAGAATCTCACAAATCTTGTTCTTCCTTTTTTTTGTAGAGGATGAAGATGATGAAGAGATGGTGGAGCCAAAAGCACAGGATGACTTGGAGACAGAAAATCAAGACCAGAAGCAGGAAGTGAAAGAAGGTACTTTAAAAAATGAAAAGGATTTTGTTACGGCTTTAAAGGACTGAATCCTGCAAGTAGTTATTCCCATAGGTAGTTTCTATTATTGAGAACACTGCAAAATCGAAACAGTCACCACTTTTATTGATTCAGAACCACATGAGTGGCATAAAAGCAGTAAATTGTATACCAGAGACCTAGCCGGTAACTCTGAGAAGCTTGTGAAAGGCACAAGACTTAGGCTGTTTAGAAGAAGCAACATGTCCTCATAATTTGGGAACGAAGCAGAAATTCTTGGATTCCAGGACTGGTGCTTACTTGTCCTCTGGCTCAAATAGCCTGCTTACCTGAAAGATTTAAAACATGAATGCCAGGCATTCCAGCAGCTCCATAAAGTTGGTTGGTCTTCAGAGGTACTTAGAGCCTGTAACTGTCTGCCTACTTGAGAGGGGCAAACTTAAACGTAGTGGTGGTCAGGAATCCTCCTGCAGAAAACCATTTCACTGGAAAATGTTGACTATCAAAATAAAAAATGTTTGTAGGAGCTGCCCCCAGGGAACTTAAGGTCACAGCTGAAGCCAGGCAGGCCCAGCTCTTCTATCCATTTCTCTGGATTGAGACACTCTCCAAGATTACAAGAGACAAAATTTCAGGTTACTGCTTCTTTCTGGTGCAGACAAGAGACACGTGTTGAAGTGGTGCATTATCTTGTGAAAACAAGATAAGACATGTTGAAACGGTGCACTGGATGCGGTAGATATGCTGGGTGTCTCTTGTTCACTTCTATCAGACTCATTCTAGCTTTTGTAATTAGAAAAGGGGTGTAAAATTTGGTCTTCCTCACCTGGGAATTTACTAGAGTATTGGCTATTTTGATGTGTCGCCTTGAACAGTCAATGCTCACCCCTGTGTGGAGTCAGGTAAAAGAGCTGAAATATCAGCAGCTCCAGTGCGCAAGGAAAGTAGTTTCTTCTCCAGCATTTCTTAGCTCTTTATTGGCAGGACTGTTCACAAAGCTGTTTACCCTCTTGAAAGGTAACTTACTTTCTCAGGTAGGGCCTAAGTAATTTTGTGCTATGGTTATCATTATCAGGATGATTCTGTGACCTTTGTTTTTTGCAAGATAATCTCATTATGGGAAAAATATGGAGTTGTTTTATAGAGAAGTCCCCCATGAAACAGTTAACTGCGAACACAGCAGTGGATGCTTCTTTCTTATCCAGGGGAGCCTGGCATGATTTACGCCAGCGTCCAGTAAACCTGAGTCTGGTGTATAGCGCCCGCATTTGCTGTCCTCACACACTGAAGTGAGTTGCAGTACCAGCCATGCTATTTTGATTATAAATTGATCTTTTTCCCTCTTAACAGCGTCACAGAAATCACCCATGCCATAAATTCTGCGGTGTCCATTGCTCATTAGGTCCTTGTAGAAACACGGAGGGGAGAAATTACTCCTCCCACTCCTCATCCTTCTGCTTCTCTCATTGCCCCCAGCCACCGCTGCCGTGGGCAGAGGGGAGCAGTGGCAGCAATGGTCACAGCAGGAACAGGGGTCAAACAAAGAGTCTGCAAAGGCAGAACCGAAGACATGGCAACATAGAAAAACTTACTTTTACCTGAAAATTACCCTTCCTCCCAAAACTGTAGGGTCAACTCACATATAGGCTCTAGCAGTCACTGGACCTAACACAGTATCTCTTTTACTGATGACAGCAAGAAGCCATAAAACCAAATATCTCTGCACCCAGTGCATAAGCACTCTCCTGAGTTGCTGAATGTCCCTCTAGTATTCAGCTTACAACTGATCCCACCCCCATTTATTTCCACATGAAAGTAATGCTAGCGCTTATACCTGGGGAGAAAGCACAAACTCCAGCATGAGGAGAAGAAGAAAAAAATCTAAATACATTCCTGAACTGATTCCTTTCACTTTTTCATGGACTTTCAAGTTAGCCTTTTATGTACTTTGCTGACCAAGCGCCGCTGCCAACAGCTTTTATTCCTTTGTTGTGTATTAGTCTTGGAGCAGTGCTCCCCTTCCTTGCCTAGCAGACCCCCCCAGCAACGGCAGGTCAACTGGGCTAGTTTAGCACTAGTCTCAGACACACAAACTGCAGACTGTAAAAGCAAGGCACAGCTTGTTTTAGCAGAACCGGCTTTGTGAGGTGCTAGCACTTGACTGGGTTCAAGGAAGGAGAAAACGTGCTCATTGCCTGACAGAAAGTGAACTTGACCTGCAGTACGTGTTGTGACAGATAAAATAGCGTAGTGCTGGTGACGAGCATTAAATGCTGTGAATCAAATGAAGCGGTCGTCCCCAAATTGGCAGGGAACGGAGTCCCATTTTTTAGCGTTGGGTGTTGTTCTCTCCCTGTTGGCTTTAGCCCTTTCGCCAACAAAATCCCGTTTTCCTCTCTGTTGTAATCACCCTTCTCATGTTCTGAGCAACATTCAGAGTTTGAAGCCATCGTTTGTGTTTCATGGAAGTGATTAAAACCATGCTACAAGTCAAACAGGAGTTTAGAAGAACATTTCCTGTCGGTGCTGCACTCTGTGTGCCTACTCAGAATTAATAGCTTTTCTGCAAATTAGCACATAATGGGTTAAAAGCATGTTTATGTTGGCATTAAGTACTCTGGCTTCTTTTTCTCTGCAAGGCAAGACAATATTTTGCAAACTTTTTAAAGAATCTCTAATAGATATTATAGTGGCGCCATTCACACTGCTATATAGTAGTTAAGGCTGTGTCAGCACTTCCATTATGAATCCTGTTTTTCAGGGATTTATAACCCAGCCGTAAAAATTTGCTCTGGGCTGAAATTTGGTTTCAGCTCAGGGAGCACATTTTTTAACAGATTAAAAAAAATCAGCATGGCCTTTTTTGAGTTATAGGAGTGTAAGAACAAAAACCATAGGAGAGAGAATTGCGGGGAGAGAAAGGCAGACAATTTTTTCATGAATATAACTCAAAAATAGGTCAGGATAAAAAATAAAGCTTGGATCCAGTCTGTTCAGGCTCCCCCTCCCTAAGCCAACAGGACAGGAGCGCTCTATTTTTATAATGGTATTTTAAGAGGAAATGTGATATTTCTTTTTCTCCGTGGTTTATAGGTAGTCCACTTTAATTCTACAGACATTTATTGCATGCTTAATTTCCTTGTCTTCCCCCCTCACACCCCAGAGTTTTTCTGCGGGGTTTAGTGGGATTATTCAGCAGTCACAGCTGTTTGCAGGATCTGACCCTAGTTCTGGATCTGTCTCAGCATCACTGTAAGGCACACTGTGCACCTGCAACATGACAGCTTGCCTGCCACGCCACCTCTTGTGGCATTTCAATGCCATGGAGGTGCTAAAGGCAGAGGAGCAGCTTGAGCCCCCCAGAGTGTTTCTGGAGTGGGAGGTTAAGACCTGGCTTGTTGACCATTTGAAGCATATGAAGCCTTGGGACTCCCTTGTGTTACGTCCATGGAGCTTCCTGTTGTCACTCGTGTCGCAGGTCCATGGTATCCCAATCGTTCTTGGAAGAGCCGAGTGTGGGATACCTGCTGGTGAACTGGGCTAGGCTCTGCCTCTTCCCAGCCTCTCCTGACCATGTAAACAAGACACTGGTACCAAATCATGGCATCAAGCGGGTTGGGGCTTTCCACCACCAGAGAGCTCTGGAGCTCCACCTAAGGTGCCTCTTTGTGTTAGTAGAAACCACATGAACAGCGGGACAGGCTGGGTCTTGAAAGTGGGCCTCAACCTGCATTTATCTGAAGCTGTGGATATATCCACAGAAACTTGCATGAAAGGCTGTGATGAGGGAGGCTGGGATCTGCAGCTTCAAAGACCTGCTGTGCCCCCCTCTTGCCCCGGCCCTGTACATGGGGCTGGGTTGTCCACACAGCAGGCTGCGGTGGGGAAGATGGTTGAGCTCTTGACAGCTCAGGCATCAAGTATCGGAGGAGCAGGACAGGTTGTGGTGGGGTTCCTAATAGCCTGTAATGCCACAGTTTCACTGCCACCGACACCACAGCGAGCTCAGGTGTGCCGACCCATCCTGATGTGTCAGGCGTGCTCAGGGATGATGCTCAGCACGGCCCCTGGGGAAGCACGATCAATGGGAACAGCCCTGTCTGGCACAGATTTGAATCTAAGGCTCTGGATCCTGCCACTCCAGAACCAAAAAATCCCTAAATGCACCTCAAAAGCTGCCTTTATATGTTCAGCAATTATGCCATGCAGGAGCTTGCGTTTTAAACCCAACATAACCAAGATATGACACATATCAAACCAGAATATGGCATATATCGTGCCTGGCATGAAAGTGAGAAGCACAAGAAAAAACAGAGGGTCGCAGGCTATCAGCAGGCAAGGACTAAAAGCGGCTGAAAGGCACTTAGCACCTTGCAGTTCTCATGTTGTACATTTCTACTGTCCTCAGTTGTCAGCACATCTAAAGTTTACATGGGTTTAAATATACACTGAAAGAAGTAATACAGCTCTTAAAAGGGTTCTACTAATCTCCTTCTGTCTCTCGTTATATCTCTGGGCTCATAACAAGGCTGCTTCCTGCTTTACTGTTTTTATTAGTTCACCCTTTCTTTCATTCTTTTACTCCTTTTGTTCTTTTTTTGTTCTTTTTTTGGCCTTTATAAGACTTCATTTCTCTTGTCAGGTTTTTACATTTGCTGAGGTTCCAGGAGAATATTTTTTATATTCTATTCTATTTATTTAAATGTGGGTCTTTTTTCTGTTGTTTTGGAGGGGTTTTTTTAATGTCTTTTTGGCTCCCTTGGGAGAAGACTCAAATCCTGGTATTTAAATATTTGTGAATTTGATCCTGCACTGTTATCACAACTATTTGTATTTCCTACAAACCTGCTTCTGCCAGATAAGAACAAGTCTGCAGCATTTTTTAATCTTTGTTCCTAAAGATCCAAGGAAATGTTCTCATATCTTTTTTTTTTTTTTTCTGTTTTGTCCAAAGAAATTTGTGGACAAAGGACCTGATGTGAAATATGGTATTTCTGAGGATCATGTTAAAGCACGTGAAATAACAAAATACTCTCATTTTTCATAAATAAGTGTTGAATAAATCAGTTGTTTTCATGTCACGTTCAATTTTTGTTGCATATTCTAGATCTTTTTGTTCATGCACGGTGTACAATGTCTTTCCTTATGGATATACCTCACATTTTCTTCCCCTGCGGTGTCCTCCATGCATATATAACTGCACAGTGTTTTAATTTTAAATGTAAATTCCATCTTATTTTGTACAGTATTATACATTAACATGAGTACAGGACTTCTTTGATACATGTTGTTCACCTCATAACCCCAGAGCCACCCAGACAGCTTGTGGGTAACGATCCCACCAAGTGGGTTCGCAGACAGATGGGATGTCCAGTGGCCCTGTTCGGCAGAAATTGGTGGCTGCACCGTGTGTCCTCCTGCCGTGAACTGTGCAGGACCACGGGTGGGTTCAGCTCCTCCGGGTGAGAAGCAGAGCACAGGACAACAGTTCATTATGAAGCTGTGGTATAGAAACAAGAGCAAAGTACGGGTCTATCTTTGCAGGAGCTTTCATTGCACTCCAGGCAGTATGCACGTAACTTTTAGCAGTGGTAAACTAAGCATTGCACTAGGCTTCGTTAGACAGGGAAGGTTAGGTGTGGTTTGTTTGGTTTTTACACCAGGGAGAGCAGATACTTGAAGGCAAATGCTGTATTCTTACAGGGAATTTCTGAAGATATTGTCACATCACATAGGTCTCTGTGACAAAACAAAACAAAAAATACTTTGATCAGCTACTTACATTTCTCAGAGTTTTCCTTGAAGAGAGCCTGTGTCTCTTGAAAGCTGAGATCAAAGTATCTGTAAGCTCCCGGATAGGAAGAAAAATTGCAGAAAATTACATAGATTCGTTTTATTTTACTCAAGGTAATGGACAGACAGGGAGAAGGAACAAGGGGAAAATGGAAGTGGCTCTGAAAGATAAATGGTTATAAAATCTTCATATTTGAAAGAACAAGCCTGTCTGTTTTGGGGTGGGTTTTTTTTGCTTATACTTCGTGTATTTGCAGTAGTTACAGCAATGTTTTACACTGGAAAAAGTAATGATGTTAACATTCTTGTAAGAAGAGATTGCCTCAAATAAAACTTCAGAGGCAGCCGAATGAAAGAAGAAAATAAGGTTAAAATATGAAGCTTAATATCGCCAGGGGGCATCTGGTGTGTCAGTCAGATGAATGAGGTAAGCTGATTTATGCCCTACAAACTTTAGCCAAGGTGTTTCTGATGCCGAAGAGGGTTTAATAGACTGCTGGCCTCCCACAGATCATTGCTAACTGCAAGGGAGATTTTGCTGAGGTAGAACTGCAATCATGTGTGTCTCCATTGCTTGTGAACACTCCACAGCTCCCAAGCTGTTTATTTTTTGCCTTTTCCCTTTCTATTGATTTTTGGCTCTATTTTCTTTGCCAGTTATAGTCGGCAAATGGCTGAGTAATAAATTTATATTTCCAAGCTGTAGAGAGGATTTGATTTAGCAAATAATTTTTACCATTTGGAGCAGTTTAAAATGAGTTTTCCAGTTGCCTTTGCAGTTATTTTCTCCCCTTTTATGCTGTTTTGCTGCATTGTCATGCTTGTTGTCTTTGATTCTCGGAAAGCAATGCTTTAGTGGTGACAGTGGGATATTGCCTCATTACAGGCTTCCTTGCCAGATGAGTTCCCTTAGTGCCAATTACTATTCAGCAGTGGGTGCTGCAATAGGTCAACCTGTACTTTTTGCTAGTCATTCTTTTTTTTTCACATGCATTGCTTCTGTCTAAAGCACTTAGAGGCAAATTGTGCTCCTGCCTTGGTAATCGTCGCTCTGCTACTTAGGGGGACCGTGCGGGGGGGCGTAGATATTCTCTGGATGCGTGGAGCTCCACAGGTACCGCTAACCTGGTGGTAGGAGGCGTGGGGCCAAGCCCATAGGAGATCATCAAAAGTTAAAGTCTCTAACTTCTTAGCTGCTTTGTCTCCTGAGGGCCAAATTGCTCCTCCACCTTTTGCATTTTTCCTACCTTCTGTATTTAGCCCAGGTGTAGCGCAGAGATTTTGTCTTTCAGAGCTATCACTTTGACCAGTTGAGGCAAACCTAAGCATGGTGATAACAGCCTCTCCCGACCACAGGGACTGCTCTGAAAGCAAGTGCACTGGAAACTGAGGGAGTTGAGTACTGCACTTATGCTGACCACGTCACTACTCCTGCCTGCTGTTGCGCCTTTCAATCTGTCCTTGCCCCTGGGGCTGGTGGTGGCATCGTCCTTGGGCACCGGGTGCACGGATCAAGTGTGAACCACGGGAAAATCAGACAGCTAGCAAAGGCTACATCTCCCTCATAGCTGAAAGCAGCTGTGTGGCATGGCACAGCAACTAGAAAATAATTTCAAACTGCAACCTTAAGCTGTGTCACTCGTTTAATTAAACATTAAGAGATGTATGACAGGGCTGGGAGTTAAATTTTGATGTGTACTGCATGTCCTCTGAGGCACTGTGCTGAATTATCTTTTTTGGCTGCTGGTGGTTTAACCCAATATGGCCTAGGGAGACTGCTAGGTCATTTTTACAAGTAAACACCTCAAATCTGTAGTGTGAAGCCAAATGCAGGAAACCTTTGATTGACAGTTAAACTCTAAGTACGAGTCTCTGTAATTTTGCAATAAATCTGTTTATGATATGTTGTTTGTGTACCTAATTATAAATTTGGAACAAAATTCTCTCTTAGCATAATTCCTGTGATGTCAACTTAGCTTTTCATGCTGGGGAATTTAAGCTAGTTGCAAGGTTGGTTTGGTGTAACTGTGTAGATCCTAATGGCATTTTTTCAAATACAAGTAATTCTGAAATAAAACTAAAATGATGGTTTAAAAGCACATGTGGGCAAAGGCATAATTGACACACAACAATGCCACAATATCAATATGACCCTGCTAGTGTAATTGAGAACAGAATCGTGCACCGTAGCAATAGCAGCATCCCAATTTCCTTTCCCTCTGATGCTCACATTCGAGTTGGAATTTACCAACAGGTGATTAAACCGATGGAGATGTAGCATTGGTGCATCCTGCAAAGATAGTATTTTTCAAATGAAGTGCCATACTGGAAGTACTGGTTTGGAAGTAAAGGTTTAGCATCTCTGCGTATGTATAAAGAAGCAAGTTCATCTCATGGGGGCCAGGCTATCCTGACTGGTGTGCGAGAAACGGCTCCTACCCCCTCCCAGGGCAGCCTTGGCCATGGCTCGGTGGCATTTTTTTGCTCTGGCTCTTAGGATTCCTCTGCAAGGAATAAAACTGCCTTAAAGGAACTGGTGTTTTATCGGTTGCTTTTGATTGTGCTGCCTCAGAGAATATCTTTGGTTATTTACTTCATTGCTTCACAAAAGCTCTAAAGCAGAGGCAGGATTTATCAGTGACACCAAGGAGAAATGGGAAGAAGTGAAGGGAGAGATTATGTGAGCCCTTTTAACACAAAGAACTGTAGTCTAAGTTAAGAAGATTATTTTATCTTTGGCTCCTCTGACAGGTCCCCTGTTACATAAGTGTTCTGCTTTTTCGAGTTAGGTGTTGCCTAAATGTCAGTCACAGCCATTTCCTGAAATAGGAACACAGAGTTTATTTAATTTGGGGGGTTTAAGTATTTTCCATTTCAGAATAATAAATATATAAGATATAGGATCTCTTCTATGTAAATGCTACATTCTGGGAATATACAGGAGTATGTTTAGATATACTAAAAAATTCTTAGTCATGATTTTAAGAGTAAAGCTTTGATTTTTGTCCTGACATTGCTACAGCAAGCTTTCATGTCAAAAGAAACCCACTGAAGATGTTGATTCATTGGGAAAGGGGTGAAATGTCATACTCTTAACTACATCTTTTCTTTTTCCAAGCTCCTCCTAGAGAACTGACAGAAGAAGAAAAACAGCAAGTTCTCCATTCAGAAGAATTTCTGATATTTTTTGACCGGACAATACGTGTAATTGAGCGAGCTTTGGCTGAAGATTCAGACATCTTCTTTGACTACAGTGGCAGAGATGTAGAAGAGAAAGATGGGTCAGTTTACATTCTTTTTGCTTTTGTGAAATAAGCTTTATAAAAAGAATTTCAGTGCCAGGAAGCCTTAATTTTAAAATGGAATTAAACATTTTTATAGTTAAGAAAAGGCTAACAGGTCTCTGTGAAGGCCTGGGTCACTTTGTTAGCCAAAATTATTTTGTTAAATAGAATCATAGAATCACCTAGGTTGGAAGGGACCTTTAAGATCACAGAGTCTAACTGTTAACCTAGCACTGCCGAGTCCACTACTAAACCATGTCCCTCAGCACCACACCTGCCCGTCTTTTAAATACCTCCAGGGATGGTGATTCAACCACTTTCCTGGGCAGCCTGTTCCAATGTTTGATAACCCCTTCTGGGAAGAATTTCTCCTTTCAGGTAGTTGTAGAGAGTGATGAGGTCTCCCCTCAGTATCCTTTTCTCCAGGCTAAACAATCTCAGTTCCCTCAGCTGCTCCTCATAAGACTTGCGCTCTAGACTCCTCACCAGCTTTGTTGCCCTTCTCTGTACACGCTGTCAATGTCTTTCTTGTAGTGAGGGGCATAGCTTCATGCTTTATTGCTTTCCATTTTTTTCTTTGATGTATTAGGTTATTTAATTTTTTGTTTCATTTTTGGGGTGATGTTTCAAATTCTGAAGAAATAATTGAAATAGATAAAAGTGTGTCTACACATATGTATGTAGATGCGTACGTGTACATTCCAGTGGTGTATGTCTGTGTGCTTATATCATGATATTTTTACAAATTCAAATTACTGTTGTTTATATTCTACTACTGCCTCAGGTCTGTAATGGATCCCACTGTGCTGTGCATTGTGTCAATGAAAATTGTGATCTCCCAAAGTGTTTGCAATCTAAACGCATAAGACAAGAGGTGACAGGTTGTGTATTCAGCAATTGATAGGGTAGTAGAAACAGCAAAACTTGTTAGTAGGAGAGGAAGTATTTAGGTTTCAACAACTGCATACCCGTTGAAGCCTCATGGCAAATGAGTAGCTATGTCATACTGAAGTTACTTACTGGAGGTTACTCTAGAGCATCGCCCCTGTGGACCGGCCAAATGTATGAGTGTGGCAGCTTTGGACCAGCATTGAACTTCAGCCCATCCTAATGGTGCCAGAAGGTATCCACCATCTCCATCACTGGGAGGAGGTGGTGTACCTTTAAGATTTCAGGAGTCAAAAATAACAGAGATTTGGTTATAGCTTGGAGGTAAAGAATCAGAAAAGGGGAAGCTGAATGCCAGGGCCAGGTTTGGTCCTGGGAGACAAAGGTGGCAGAGGTGGCCCAGGGTTACCCAGAAGAGTGATCCAGAAAAGAGTCAGGAAGGTGGTGGGAAATTAAGAAATGTAGTTTTGTGAAACACATGTAAAATTTGTTCCTTCGTGCAGATTTGTTACAGATTGCAAGACAATGAGAGCAATTAAATCAAGGTGGCAGATTTCCACAGGTTGGGCAGAGATTTGAGAAGGAGTCAGAAACAGCATTGCTTTTCACAGCATTTAAACCCTGGTACTTCAAAAAGTGTCACTTTGTTTGAATTCACACAGAGATGTTCAAGCAGGAGCCAACCTTTCCTTTAACCGTCAATTTTATGATGAGCACTGGTCAAAGCATCGTGTCGTCACCTGTATGGATTGGTCTCTTCAGGTAAGATGTGAAGCCAGGACATAAGTTTCCATATACTTTCCAAGTTCCTAAAAAATACAGCTAGTGTCACTTTGCCCTTTGTTCTGCAGAGCATGATGTTATTTCTTAGCTAACTGCAGGGCCCTGAATGAGGTAATGCATGTTTCTCCATAAAGAAGAGTACGGGGCAATAATGAAGATATCATTTTTTTGTATATGTTGCTTGGTCTTCAAAACCAGGATGTTGTATTAAAACTCTAGGTTAATAAACCTACTAAGATGAAGGACTCTTTACTTTTTGTTCACCCCCTCCACGCTTTCAGCACGTGGAAATTTTTTAGGACAAAAGGTTTAAAACTAAACCAATAAAAAGTAATTTACTAAATATGTAGCAATGGATTTAATAAATAGTTATACATAATAATATAGAAAAGAAAGAAGAATAGTCAGTAATAAAATTTATTTGTCTAATATACTAAAACTCAAAATGTGAAAGTATCTGAACAACTTGAAAAGATTGAAAAATGTCTTTCAAAAAATGCTGGGTCCTCTCTTCAAGCGATGGAAGAGGAGGCTGCAGCTGGCCAGGGGGCACGCTAAAGCAGCATGCCTGGAATGTATCCAGTTTCTGTGCACCGCAAAGCATTGTCATATTGCAAAATAAAACTGATGATAGAGCTGCTTAAGCTTCCCAAAACCAATACAGCCGCATCAGCAAAGCACAGAAACCAGGTTAAGTAGTTACTCTGTTGGAGAGCTGGGATTAGCACACACACACATCACCACAGGTCCTTTCAAATTCATTCGGCCCCAGTTTCACTCCAGCCACCCGCATCCTCTTTGCTTCATCCCTCTTAGCCTGTTCCTAGGTTCCAGCCTGGAGCAAAGCAGCTGGTTTCCCTGGTGAGAAAAGCCAGGAGGCTCTGCTCCAACGTCCACGATACAGATAGAACAGAACTGCCCCAGGAGGACATAGGATTGAAAAATGTGAACGCAAGCGAGTCTGCCTAATGTCCCCAAACCCAGCCTCAGGTGTGCCCTGGTGTGTCCAGAGCCCTGACGCAACCTGGTGTGGGTAGCAAAGATGCTGTAGATGTAGCTCAGCCCAGTGCTAAGGACAAGCTTTGCTTAGCCTAATCTTAGAAGTAGCTGCTCTTTCTGCACCATGGTAGGTGTTGCGTGTGGAGACGGCATGTGTTTAAAGCCAAGTGTGTAAATGGTGTGTGTGGGCTGGGGAGAGGCCATGGATAAGGAGCACAGAGACTCTCCCATCCATCCTTCTCTCCTTCCCCTTGAAAAGGCAGCAAGACTGCTTCCAGCTGTTCCAGCTGCTTCTCAGGTAAGGTGGCAGCTGACTGCACTGAGGAGGTGGCAGGCAGCAGGGAGGAGAGGAGTTGGAGGGTCTCACTGAGCATCGCTGGTAGGCTGTGCAGGTCCGGCTGTCCGACCTGGTGTGGTACACAACAGCCAGCTGCAGAGATACAAGCCAGCTTGTAATATCCAGCTCGTACCCTGTGTGTGAAATGAAGGATTTATCCCTTTGCTTTCATACAAAATATCAGCTTAACAACAGGTATGCACTGGTGTGACGTGGGTGGCCTTTAAGCACATATGGATTTCCACAGAAATCAAATATAAGCCTGAGGAAACACTTATCTTAGGTTGTTCACTTGTTCAGGGGCTGGAAATTACATGGAATTCTTATCTGATATTTTCCTAACAGGCAGCTCTTACTGTATTCCCAGGGCAGCAAGAAAAAAAAGCCGCCTCAGAAGAGCACTGCCAAATGTAATTGCTCAGCCCCTGGGGCTCGAAGGCATGTTCTGCTTCCCACCTCTTTGTTCCAGGGTGGCCCCTCCTGCCTTCCCCTCCGTTAACTCTTCACACTCACCTCCCTGGCACCCCAGCGGGGGCTTCTTCGCCCCGGCAGCTCCTGCATGCCGGGGGGCTTCTGCACGGCAGCCCACACCAGCTTGGGAGGAGGGACTTGCCTCCTCGCTTGCCTGCTTTGAGGTGTATCATGCGTCAGGAGCTGGAGCCGGACAGAGGTATTTCACCTAACCGCTAGCTCTGCTTCTCACTCACGTTCCAGGACATGGCAGCGTCCAGTATGCCAAAGGATAACTTGAATAATCATGGGAACTGCAGAATACATTGCTCAATTTTCTGCGATAAAACTGTTGCTGCAAAACAGCTTGAAGGCAAATAGAAGCTTAATCAAACAAAGGACTTTGATGCATTGATTAAACTAGTTATTCTGTTCCCAGTCACATGTAAAATACGGTCCCAAACATGTGGGATCATTCATACCATTAAAGCTAACCCACTAGCCCCTTGATTCTTTTGGAGAGCAAAGGGAAACCGGCTTAGATGCTTCATCAAGGATCTAAGGGAAAGGCCCAACAGACCAGGTGTAAACATAGAGAGTGGGATCACCTTGCTCTGGCCATGAGGAGGTAGCTTAGCTCATCTAAAGCCAAGAAAACCACAGTCTCAGGGATATTGCTGTGTCTCTCTTGACTCACAGGCGGCAGCCTTGAATGCTATTTCCCACAGCACCATTTCCACATCGCTTTCAGCTGCAGTCACAGGAGAGCTAGGCACCTGGTGAGGACCGAAATTCTGTAAATGCAAGTAGATTGAATGAAGCGGCACGTGTGCAATGCCAGCGTGGATTTAGAGTCCTGCATTTAGTTTGGGGGTTTTTGAGTCAAAAAGCCTCATAATGGTGTTGCCCAGCTAGGTATGACCCCAGCACCTGTGTAAACTTGAAACTGTACTTCCAGTCAGATGCATAAACTGTGATTGCAAAACCTACACATAGACCAGCAAGATTTGACTCAGTGTTTGTTTATGGCCAGACGTGCTGCCAACCAGAACACGCTCACTAAACTTTCCAGGAGCATGAACCAACCCCAAAGTACCTCTAAACTGGTGCTTCAGACCTGGTCACACACCCTAGCTGGCCGCGGTCATGCCAGTGGAAGGGCTTGTCACTTCTGCTTGCCAAGTCTTCACGACTGTGGGCTCAGCTGCTCGCACAAACGGTACCTAACCTGTTCAGCCAAAAGGAGATGCCCTGGCAAGAGCCTACTGCGCACGCTGTTTACATGGATCTGGGCCAACGTGGGATGAAAAGGTTCAAACAAGAAGCTGAGCTTGCTGTTCAGAAGTGGTTGTAATCTCTGTCGCAGGAGAGAGAGAGAGGAGAGGGGGGTGAGAGGGGTGAGAGCGGTGGAGGACAGGCTGGCACGACTGTGTCCAGAGAGGTGGTGTTTCAGGTGTGGGATTACACTCTGGTCTCCCTCAGTTCTTGAGGAGAGAGAAGAGGTGGTGGGTCTGCTGCATGCTTTAAATCCTATGCAAGTGATTTGGGTGCTAAATTGCCCTTAGAAGCTGTTCCAGCAGCCAGGGTCTGCCGGGATGCAGGTACAACCCAGGCAGAGCCGCCCCAAAATGGGAAAGAGGCAGCAGGTATGGTGGCCACGTGTCATTGCTAGTTCTCCCACACATTGGTTCAGGCTCATTTGGAACAATGAGCGTGAACAGAAAAATCATCAGCTCCATGATGTATTATCTGTGGAAGTGTACGCAAAGTGGGAAAGAACAGCTGCTGATGGCAAAAGTTATAGCTGTGCACATCATTTCTTCCAAGTGGATTTTGAGAGCAGAGAGGTTCAAACCCTAATGATAATGATATAAAGGGTGGTGGGTTTTTTTTATTTTTAAAGTGCCTGGTGTGGACCAAATTCACAGCTCCCAATAGCACTGTTGGCAGTTTCTTTGTCCCGCTTCCTCTACATCTACCAGCTGCACTGTTTCCCTGTAAAGTTGTGAACGGTTTGGCAGGAATTTACCTGGGAAAGACAAAAAGTGACAATGATTTGTGGAGATCATTGAGAAATGCCGAGGGAAAGCATTCCTAGTTTACAAGAGGAGGGTGTGGGCCTGTGGAGCTTGGGCTGCTGGCTCGTTGGTCTGCAGAAGCCAGGTGCTTTTCTCTGGACACACGATAAGGTCCACTGCCTTACTTTGACTCTTCTAAGTACGGAAGGACAGAGGCTCCCAGAGGTGCCTAATGTTAAACGTGAGAGTGGAGAACTAGGTGCTATTGTATAGGCAGAAAGTAATTAATGCTTTGTGAGCAAATCGTTACTTCTTACAGTGTTTTGAAACAATACAAAGTCATCAACAGAATGTGAAAATCTGATTTTTCATGTATGATACTATACATGTGTATATATGTGTGTATGTATATAAATAGAGCAAATACATATGTGTGTGTTGCATATCTACTGCTATACATCAGTGGATAATGGGAGCACAGGAAAATATGGATCTGATTTTAGAGTGCTCATTGCATCAATCTTACTGAGTCAGTGGAATTCAAGGTCACACTATGCTTTACAAGATGACCTCAGCATCTTGCAAAATTGAGATTCTGTGAAGAAAATGTTTTGTTTGCTATTTGAATCATGAAGAACAGCTTTCAAGTTGATTCTACGCATAAGTGAATAGGAAGAGTTCATAGTGAAATAAGAAAGAATAGTTTTCAGGGATGCTGAAAAAAATGAATTTCAGGATAAAAGCAAATTGATGCTATGCTCATATTGTTTTTACTATCCAAATCAATTAAGACACTGGTTTGTCCCTGAAGAAACGGTTAAGCAAATACATTAGAATTACTCAAGCTTTCAGATTTTTCCTCTTCCTTGCTTTGCGTTCCCTTTATGAATATCCTGCTAGTTGCCTTTTCTGAGAATTACCTACAGAAAATAACATTGCCTTCATAGTATCTGAGAATAACTGATAGAGAGCAATGAGCAGGGGCTTTAAGGATGTCAGGGACAAGTAAAGTATAAAACCAAAACGAAGCTGAATACTATGATTGGACTAGCGTGTATTATAATTAAAACCAGACATTGCACATTTAGTGTAGATTATTTCTGTCTCATCTGATTTTGCATAGGTTCTTCATCACCCATCTTGTTTCATTTGCTTTTTCTTTTTCTTTCTAGTACCCCGAGTTGATGGTTGCATCTTATAACAATAATGAAGATGCTCCACATGAGCCTGATGGGGTAGCCTTGGTATGGAACATGAAGTTCAAGAAAACCACACCGGAATATGTTTTCCATTGTCAGGTAAGACTGAGGAAGCCATTAATTTCACGCTAGACAAAACAGAGTTTACTACATGGTGCATCTGCCCACTGCTTATATGAAGAGGCTGAGGTTAAAAGTAGGCATTTTTGGAAAAAGTACAAGCGTCAGTCCAGTGTTTTTAGAAGGCAACCAGCCTTCTCAAACAATACTGAAAGCCTGTCAGGGCTGCGTGTCATTCTTTGTCTATTTAAAACAGTCCCTAGGAGATTTAGTTTATAAAGCCCTTGCACTTATGAAGTAACTGTGGTGTACCACTTCCTCATCCAGGCAGCAACATATGCTTTCCCACCCACGTTAGCTTCCTCACATCCTCTGCGCTCCAAGCTGCCTAGCCTTGCCTTGGTTCTGCTCAATATCATGTTTTGCTTGAAAACTGGGAAGTACACGTTGCATTTCTGGGCATGCGTCTGTCTTACAGCTTGATAAAAACGGTCTTGATTGCAAGGACTATGCCACCAGGTCCTGTTTGACTGTCCTTTAGGTTAGCAAACCAGTGTTTCACTTCACTCAGTGCTACTTTGTGACCATAATATTTTAGAAGTTTATGGGCAATTCAAAAATAGTTGGGTGTTTTATTTCTATAGGTCTGTTTACTTCTCTTTTGCCACTGCTTTTGTGTGTGAAATGGCACAGCCTCGTATTGACTGAAATGTTCTGCTCATTGGCTCTATCTCCGTCAAACTGTCCAAACTGTGGAACGGGGCTTGGGCCAAATTTCCAACCTCTTCATTAATATCCTTCTGTGGTAATTAAATACAGGACAGTGGTATTCAAAAAGCCATATGGAAAAGTTTCAGCAAGTAAAATTTAACAATCCGAGATTAGTAAAATGCAGATTATTCTGCGGTAAAAATTGCTTCTCTTGGAAGGATATGTATTACCTGGCTAATTGTGTAAGCTAAGTGTCATTTTACATTCAAGGACCAAACATCTTTTTGAACTAAGTTTATGTTTGGACTTGGGTACATTATCAGATGTAACATAGTGGGAGGGAGTTGCTGGAATTGAAGTTACTGCTTCAACCCGATTAAGTAACCTTTAATTCTGGGCATGTTTTTCTAATTTGCTATACTGAAAAACAACTTCACAAGGAGTCTAGGCCTGCACAGCAAATATGCCATACAGATTTATATACATGTATATGTATGTGTGTGTGTATTACCTTTGAAATGAGAACTTGTATTTTTCTGGATATCATATTCAGCAGACTGATGTGTTCTTTCAGACTGCTTAAGATCTTAGTTCAGATCCCATGTTCAAATTCTTACAGGATGCACATGCAGCTTAATGTTTTAAACAAAATATTCAAAAGAAGAGATTGCCCATTGCGTTTTCAGGAAGAATAATCCTTAAACTAGGTTGATTTTGCAGGATAATAACCAGATTCAGGGTAGCCCTTCTGCATACACAAAGGAGAGATTGACTACAGACATAACAATGTGCTCCATTAATTAAAAATTCTATCTAGTTTTAAAAGCAGGTACACTTAAACAGGGTATGACTCACTAAATTGAAAGCATTGAGACAGTCTATACTCTCCATTAGAAAAATACTCATAGGACAAAGTGGTGGCCAGAGATTTAGCATAGCTGAGCTTCTTTCTAATTCTCCCATTAAGTTGGATGTCCCCCTTTTTAGAACTGGAACCTTAAAACCTGTGAATTCAGAGACACTTATGGCACTGTGCTTTCACATGCATCCTGGATTCATCATCTTTCGGTTAAATGAAGTAATTTCTTCTGTCCATAGGAAATATTTATTTTCTTGGTCAAACTGTCCACAGATAATTTGCATTATAAATCTGTTATGACTTGGAACCATGTTTGAACCACCATTATGGGGCTTCTGACTGTGGAATATCTTCTCCATCTCAGATCAGATGGGGATACCCACATGACATTAAATGGGGAAGCAAAAAGCATGAAACTTGGTCCCTTGAACACAGGTTTTGTTCTGACTGACTCAGATGGAAAATAAGAAAAAAAAATTATCTTAGCTCAGAATCTTGGATTCAGTTATTCTATTAGTTAGTGGAAACCAACTGTATTATTAGTCAGCCCAATATCATTTATATTACCATTTTGCAAGAGAAACATCCCTTATTCGGTCCTGATTTGGTCATTTCTCTAGGTCTTCTGTGAGACAGGCCCAATTTTTCTTCCAGAATACATGACCTTATAACAGTCCAGCCCAGCAGCTGGAGATAACACACAACTTATCATTACACCTAGGTTGCCCAGATATGACAAATGCAGTACTTTGAGTGTATTTTCCCAAGAGACCTCTATTTTCCTTTCCAAAGACTTTCTATAAAAAACATGGTCATAATAAATACTATGTGGTACTGACTAATATACCTTTTGCCTTTCAATTTTTGGGCTCACAGAGCAAGATACAAGCAAGTAGAGACTCATTTCAGGTGTGACTGTCAAGGAACACATGCAAGCCACTTCTGAGAAGACAAATCAATAAATAGGTCTATGAAGCCATTTCTGAGGAACTTCTAAGAAATTCCACCTCAGGAGTTCTGGTAATATCAATAGAAATAGATATGTGAAACATCTTGGACAGCTAAAGAGCTGGCTGAACTTTAGCAGGTAGAACTTCAGATACCTTTTGTGCACATTTGGTAAATTCTTAAAGCTAGGAACTGTAATGTTTTCCTGTCTTTCCTGGTATATTATACAGATTTAAGTGAGATGATTACCAAGGAGTTTCTTAATTTTCTTTACTGCTTTCTATGACTTTTTGCAATCTTACATAGGATCATTGAAATTGTCATAATCAGAACAACAGGCTTTCCCAGTGCCTTTGCTGAAAGTTGCCAAAGCCCACGGGCTTCAACTCAAGTTGTCTATCAGCCATGGCAGACAACAATGCAAAAATCTACCAGTGATGATGTTTAACTCCAGTCTAACTCCAACTCTACCTCCAATCAGCAAAATGTTTGATTTCAGTCTTTAAATGTGAGGGATGGTGTGTTCTGTAAATATTTATCTTAGCTGTTCTCACTAACGATCTTACTGTTATGAAATTCTTGCCCAATTTAAAGTCATATTAGGTCATTGGCTCATTAATACAGTGTAGGTGGTAGTAAATTTCATAGCTCTACAATATGTTGTGCTACAAATACTGGGTCCAATTTTAGTTAATATGTATTAAGGAAAAAATTACTATCAGCCAAGTGGACTTGTTTACTGATTAATTCATATGAAATCCCATGTGGTCTATCAAATCCTTTCTAAACAAAATAGTCCTACTGGCTTCTACTCTCTCCTCCTGGCTTCTACTCTCTCCTTCTGTGGAATATTTCTTTTCTTCTACTTGTTTTATTTTTGCCTTTCTTTAGGTTTTTCTATTTCTACTGGTCCATATTGGGTCCAGTGCTGTTTAATATTTCATCAATGACATAAGTGTGGACAACACCAAGCTGAGTGGTGCAGTTGACACGCCTGAGGGACAGGATGCTATTCAGAGAGAACTGGCCAGGCATGAGAAGTGGGCCCATGTGAACCTCACGAGGTTTGACAAGGCCAAGTGCAGGGTCCTGCACATGGGTTGGGGCAATACCCTGTATCAATACAGGCTGGGGGATGAAGGAATTGAGAACAGCCCTGCCAAGAAGGACTTGGGGGTACTGGCAGATGAAAAGCTGGACATGAGCCGACAACGTGCTCTTGCAGCCCAGAAGGCCAACTATATCCAGGGCTGCTCAAAAGAAGTGTGGCCAGCAGGTCGAGGGAGGGAATTCTGCCCCTCTGCTCCACTCTGGTGAGACCCCACCTGGAGTACTGTGTCCAACTCTGGGGCCCTCGGCCCAGGAAAAACATGGGCCTGTTGGAGCAGGTCCAGAGGAGGGCCACAAAAATGGTCAGGGGGATGGAACACCTCTCCTGCAAGGACAGGCTGAGACAGTTGGGGTTGTTCTGCCTGGAGAAGAGAAGGCTCCGGGGAGACCTTATCGTGGCCTTTCAGTGCTTAAAGGGGGCTTATAAGAAAGATTGGGATAAACTTTTTAGCAGAGCCTGTTGTGATAGGACAAGGGGTAACGGCTTTAAACTGGAAGAGGGTAGATTTAGACTAGATATAAGGAAGACATTTTTTACACTGAGGGTGGTGAAACACTGAAACAGGTTGCCCTGAGCGGTGGTAGATGCTCATCCCTGGCCACATTCAAGGTCCGGCTGGACGGGTCTCTGAGCAGCCTGATCTAGTCGAAGATGTCCCTGCTCATTGCAGGGGGGTTGGACTAGATGGCCTTTAAAGGTTCCTTCCAACCCAAACTATTCTATGATTCTACTTCACCCAGTGATGTGCTGCCAGTATTTTAGCCGGGAGTCCCACAAATTTTTTCCTCCATAGCTCATCATACATCTCCTTACCACAAGGTTAGAAATGGGAAAGCAAGGAAGAGTGAGGGATCGGGCAATTTGTTCATTTGTTTTCCTATGCAAGCAAAAAAATGTTGTCTCAGAAGCAAAATCAAAGTGGAAGGGTGATATCATTTGCCAAAGGAATGCTCAATGCTTTCCTTAGGTAGTGAGGAATAAATTGAGCATGCAGTTAATACTGCAGAGTGCAGGCTGGGAATGTCCTTGTAGGGAAGAGTCAGGGATGTCCTCTTGCCCCACGCTGGAGCATCACAAACTCTTAGTGTAATCTGGTGCATTCCAAAGGCAAAACCCAAGCCTTTCAAAAGTACTTTATGAGGCCCTGCAGATGAGTCATCCCTGGTTGGGTTGGTTTGGCAGTATCCAGAGAGGGAATGAATTCCAGCAGAGACATGGAAATCACATTGACTCTCCCTCATTTTGGTGTGAGAATTTTAAGCAGTGGTTCACACTGCTGCTCTCAGCTACTGTTGGTCTGCATTTAGGTGGGGGTGACAAAAACAAAAATAGTATGGCACGGTTATTGATGATATGACTCAACATGAGCTCAATCTTATATTGATTTATGCAATGCATGGGGCTGGCCTT